TTCCAGAATCGACAATAACAACCTATCACAATTGGCCAAATTTGCAAATTTTTCTCCAAACATCTGCTTGTTTGCGGTGCTCAATCACATCTGTTTTGCCTACTGATTAACACCAATAATTCAATGAATCTGATTGACGCACGATGTACTTTGCCTGAGTTGAACAATAATAGGACTAACGAACGATGTGTTAACAAAGCTTGCGGAATCGACGGACTGTTCAAAGATTTCAGGAATTAGCACCTGTAAATGTTGTCTTCGGGAACAACATGTTTTCAATTAATGCTAAATTTAGATTACTACATGCTACACGCAAAACAAAAGTTCTGATGTTAGCAAACAATCAATATATGGGAAGCAGCTTTTCTAACTTGTTTTTTTTTTGCATTGCGTTTAGCAAGATTAATGATAATTTATTGCGGTAAATTAAGGGTGGTTTGTAGCCCTGAGCTGAGCTGTTAAGATCTTTTGTATGATCTAAAGACTCATAACTTTTGGAAGACGTTTTCAAAAATCACATACTTTTTCAGTATTGTAATTGTGTAATGTTATGATATAAACTTTAAAGAAAGTGTATATTTCGTGTAGAATGAAATTCAATATATTTTGCCGTGGGGATACCCTATGTCCAGGACGTCCAGAAATTCGAAGCGAAAGAACTCCCTTGGCCGGACTGGGGATCGAACTTACTGAAAGGCTCCAACTTGCTAGTAAATGGATCTTCAATTATGAAACTTTAATTAAAGATAGATTAAATTGTTTGGCCCAGAATAGTACTAATTACAGGAGCAATTGACTATCCTCATCAATTAAGCATTCATTCGACGGCAGAGAAGTTCTAACAACAACGTCACATCCATAAGCACTCTTCAAACATTCGTGCTAGGTACCGATTACTTGACCAACTCGTCAAATGATTTCCCTCTGCTGGAGCAAGTATAATTGAATGGATCATTATCAGTAATTACAAATGAAGACAAGTCATTTTCGGTAACCTGCATCGGCATCGTCATTCAACGGACCACGGTCAAAGTTCCTGAGATGACGTCGGTTTGGTTGCGGAAGTGTCGAAAACCGAATCCTTGCATATTTTCTGAACCCTATTATTTATCTGATAGTAAATTTGCTTATTATCCAGATTAGAACCATTTCCACATGTTTGACGTTTGACTCCGATCCAGGTTGGAACTGAATCAAAAACAAATTCGTTATAAATTTGACCACGTACACAGTTTTCGTCCCAAAAATAAATCGACGCATAGGTACATATACGAATTGGTTAAGGCTGTCTGTTGTTGTCGTTATTGATGCTGCTGTCGTCAAGTGAATTGCGAATTAATCAGAAACAAACTCGCTAACCATTGCTCTAAAATATTTGGTAAATATTTTCCTAGTGGAAATTAAGTTATCACGGTGCTCTCATCTTATAGATTGGAGTGATAGGGTAAGGTGAGGTAAAATGCATCCTCGTGGCAAGATGACTTTTTGGAAATTTTGAATACATTTTCAATATATTTTCGTGGATTTAACAAATTCTCGAAAAAGATATTTTAAACGCCAAAAAGTAATTTTGGCGCGGTGGTGTATTCTACCCCATTTTATATTACCTACCAATGTGTGAACCAGTTCCTTGATTTTCGAGCACGTGATTGATTGTTTACCTCGGGCACACAATTGACGAGAAAGTGATATCATTCGATAAGATTTTGCTTTGAAGACTCTTGAGGGTCCTAGAAGAATCGAAATTAAAGAGTGTTCGATAAAAGTGCTAATTGGTAGCTTGTTGATAGTTTGTAAATTGAGAAAATCTTAAAAAAGATGATGATGATGATGGTCCCACCTCTTACCCCTACAAAAGTTTGAGCTGGACGATTTATCTTCAAGATGATTAAATATGACAATTTAACCAGGTTAGCAAACAAAATCGAACTGGTTACAGTTACAGATATAAATTCCCTCTAGAGTTTACAGTTGCTTCACAGCGATATAGCTGTGTAGAAGTTCAGGCGTCCACCTCTTTGTTCGCCGCAATCTGATGCTATCATAATTTTCAGCAATGTCAAGAATGCTCACGAACCCCCAACATTTTCCAGAAAACTTACTACTAACTCAAGGTATCTTCCAAATAAGCTCAAACCTTTGTAGACTACTTTTTTTTAAATCTACTACTATTAAACCCATCATCACCATCGTGGCGAAAAAAAAAACAGCTTTTGCAGTGCTACAATAATTATTAAAAGTCATTATGACAGCTATCCATATAAAATCCGTTAGAGATAACTTCGTAAAGATACATAATTTTTTTTGTCAATTCAGACAAATTATGCGAAACAGTTTGGAATCGACAATTCGACCGTTTCCCGTGTGGTAAAATCGTTGAAGGAGACGACCCAGCGGTGAGCTGGCAGCGGAAGAAAAGCGAAGACGACCGACCCCGTGAACGCAAGGAAGGAGAGGGATTACTTCAAGCGCAATCCGAACCTTTCGATTCGGGACGTGGCAAAGAAGGTCAATCCTTCCATCTGGTTCGTCTAGCAGACAATGAATCGGGCCAGACTTCATGTCTTCAACGTAAGGAAGGCGCCTGCCTAACCGAACCACGAGTGGTTGGTGCAGCTGAAATGCATCGTAATGGAACACAGTTCGAACAAATAGCGTAAATTTCTGTTCAGTATGATGCACATAAATGGAGCGTCACATATCATATAAGTTTACATTACATATCATGTAACGTTCTGAGACCGGCCTGGAGTTTTTCGTCAGCAAGTCCCGTCTGGATGTTCCGGAGAAGTTCCGGAAGAATTTTTATATCTTTATTAAGGAGACTTTCAGCCCTGGGCTGGTTCGTCTCCGGAGGTTCCGGAAGAAGAAGGTTGACAAATTTGCCAAGGAGTACTTAGTGTGGCGTGCGATCTGTGGGTGCGGCAAATTCAGCAAGCCGTACATAACGACCGGCACCATCAACGGCCAAATATATAAAGAAGAATGCCTCCAGAAGCGCCTGCTTTCCTTCTCCGGACTCACGAAGGTGACACTCTGTTTTGGCCAGATCTGGCATCGTGCCATTACGCTAAACCGGTGATGGAGTGGTACGAAGCCAAGGATGTTGATTTTTTTTTCCGAAGGAGGCAAATCCGCCAAACTCGCCAGAACATCGCCCAATAGAAAAATTCTGGGCGCTTTTGAAGGACAAGCTCCGGAAAACAGGGAAGGTCTTCAAAAACGACAAGGATTTGAAGAAAGAGGGGATGAAAGTTGCACAGGACTTGATGGGTAGCGTTTAGTCCAAGGTGCGGCCATTTAGCCTAGGAGAGGAGGTTGAATAAACCAACTTTGCAAAAACATAGCTAATATGAGTTTTTCTCTTATTCCCTGAGAGTTTCAAAGATATCCGACTTCAAATAAATTTTTGATGATAATTTTCGTCTGTAATTTTTTTTCAAGTACAGTCTTTATAAATATTGCTAGATAGAGGAAAAGTTGGCTTCGGCAATACCTTAACCTATTATCGTCAGGGGGTAAACAAAGTCCTAGAGCACTCAAATTTGGCCAAAAGTTGCTCTGAAACACAATGTATCCACATGCCAAAATTGAGCTCTCAAAGACGTTGTTTACCCCCCTGACGATAATAGGTTAAGGTATTGTCGAAGCCAACTTTTCCCCTATCATTTTTTTTTAAAGTTCGTGCACAGGTAAAAAGTTAGGTTACGCGACTGTGTTTGTTAACAAAACAAAATTGAGCTGATCCTAGCCATATAATATGTAAACCTATTTGCATTAAATTGCATAAATCTGCTGAATGCTTTTCTCGGCAAACATAGATCTCCGACAAAATATTTTCTGTGCTAACTATCAAAACTAACATTCTTGGTGGATGTTATTCAATCTTCACCAAACATGACTTACTGCCAGATGAACAAGAAAATAATAAGAACTTCTTGTCACAATTGGCAGTTGCAATAAGTTTTGAAATTTTACCGCCTCCAGAAACTTGTCCAAACAACATTTTGACTCCAAAATCACCTTTTTCCTTCAATGTTGATTAACGCTGCTCTGGGAGTAAATTTTCTATCGGTACCTGTGATCACTACAACGACTATTCTGAACGACACTGATCAATTGTACGTCAGCAATAAATCAATAGATTTAGTAGCGCATAATTTTTGGTAACTACGAATAGGCAGGTATTTAGCTTCTTAAATGATGATTGCTAACATTGCAATGTTATTGCAGTGTTGGGCGATGAGGGGTATACCATGGGAAGTTCTACCGGGAGTGCTGGATTACACGACATTTTCTGGTGGCAATAACAAGGTAGACTAATTCATGCTTACGACCATCCAGAATCCATTAAATTTAATGGCAATTTCAAATGAGGTGTTTGCATCGGTTTTGGTATGTCCATTTCTTACCAATTGATGTTATCATTGGCTGTAATAAAAGGAACCATGCAAAATCACTGCAGTTCTGACAAACAGGTTCTTTCAGTAGCCATAAACTAAAAATAAGACTGACGTCTTGGAAACTAAACTTGTTCATAAAAATCCTGATAAATAAGCTGGAAGGGTAATTATATTGTTTGTCAAGAGCTGCACGTGATCAAAATAGTGAATTCTGAATAAATTACTGACACGTCGATAGCTTGGCAATGTTCAACGATGGATCTGGTTATATTAGGTATCATTGAATCACCGATCCAAAAATAGCTTATCTCTCCCCCAAAAAGACATTCAATTCTAAAGTGTTAATAACTAAAGACAATTGTTCAATTTTAAATCGTGCAGAACAACATCTGTCAGCCAAAAGCATAAACAGATGTTGTTGCTATTAGCTCTGGCTATCATCACCCCGGTGACAATTGGGAGAGATTTATCACCCACGTTTTACCACAACAACCTTCATTCAGATTCACGACGCTCGTCGATAAGCTAGCAACATCTTTATCTGGAAAGAAAGCCTTCAATGCAGTGCAGAGCGTAGAAAAACAGGTTTTGATAAAAAAAAAATGCAGCCAAATATTTGACTGCTGAATTACTTTATTTAACAAAGGAATATTTGCGAGTTTGTTCACGCGAGAGTAATGAATGGTTGATGTCATTCGCTTTTATGTCATGTGATAAGCGCACCCACCCAAAGGCTATCGTAGGCGGTGGGTGGCTTTTTTGACTTCTTCGGGAAGCTCCAGATAATCATGGTCTGGCCATTCCCCATCGTCTTCGTGTAGCGTTGGACGGTAATTCCAATGCTTTAGCAGCGGTCTTCGGTACCGGTCTATAGAGAGATAGTTGGACAGTTCGTTGTCCAGATAGTGCGTTCGGATTGGGAGGGCATTGCCCGAGATGGGGATATCCTCGGTAAGGGCCCAAATGGAAATCTTGGACGTTTTAAAATTCTGAAAATTGATAGGAAAATTATAATGAATAGTTTAAAACATAAGCACAAAGCCTTTACCTCCGGTAAGCAATGGTGCTGCTGGCAGTAATAGGTTGTTGATCCTTCGGAATAACACCAAGTGCCATCAGGGAAATAAGAATCCACTCCGAGATCGTTCAAATCAAATCGTGGTGCATAATAGGCGTCACTGTCCGCACGTTTACAATAGATAGCGCAACTCATCCAAAGTCTGTAACCATCGTACGGGCCCTGAATCCCTAGACCAGCCGGATCAAGTCTGTTCAGCAGCTTACTGAATTCCTTACATTTAATACTTGCATAAATTTCAATCGGTTGCCGCTTATTCGTGCAAAGCTTTTCGTCGTCGCAAACGGCCACATCATATGCACTCCCTTCACATCCAGCATCCGTATTGACCGGTTTCGGGTTGTTACATCGCCTACTTCGCTGCTGGAACCCTTTCGAACGCGCCAAGCAGCCCGAGTTGCAGTCTCCACTGGCCCAATCGCTCCAACCTCCCTTAACTACGCTGATGGGTTTTTTCTTCTGCTTCACACAACTTCCGCCAATACACCACTGTAAATGGAGGAAAACTTTGTGGTGAGATATCTGTTGTGTGCTTCCAGGCGATCAAGAGGCGAAAAGCTCACCTTGCTATCACCACAGTCGGTTCCTTCCAGCGCCGGTCCGGCGAAGTAAAAGCCAGTACGATGCGGCGTTCGACATTGGAGATTTTGGCAAATTCGTTCTAGACCCGATGTCGGCACGGCAATGGCGTCGTTATCTCTGAAACGATGGTGTTAATGCATGTTAATTATGATTACAAATGAATCTTTATCAACGCATTTATTGGCTTTTGTTGGAAAAAAACATTTGCATGATAGACTTCGACTAAGGTTTCGAAATAGAGGCGGTCTATTTTTGTTATGAGTCATTAGGCAGATTACCAATAGATATTTGACATTATGAGTAGTATTCTAGATGTTGCCATTTTGGATTCCAAAATGACGTCTATCAATAGTTTTTAACATCTACACGTCGTCCCCGTAAAATATCCAAAATATTCCCCGTCGGTCTCAGGGCACTGAAATTTACATGTCTTTTTCGTAGTGTGTGTTTATCAACAGTTTTGCCTGTACGTCGTGCCCGTTTCGAAAATTACCATATTGTAGGGACTTTGCCTGGGGAACAAACCTCTAAAATTTAAACAAATTTTTAGACCGGCCATGCTGTGCCAATATGGTCTAGTCGTTGGACTACCAGGAAGAAAGCACTTCAAAGCAAGGATGATAACAACAATTTTCCCATTCTCACGATACAAAAAAAAAACCTTAAATAACACCACATCTATTATTATTATTTATTATTATTATTTATTATTATTAAGTCCATCTGACTTGGTAGTCTCAATGAAACACCTAAACTTAAAATAATCTATAATAATGTATAATGTAGTCACTCATTAAAAATTAAAAATTGGCCGACAGCAAACGATGACGAAATCTGGAGGCATTGATGTCAAAGTCAAATAGGTCAGATACTTCGTTGAATTTATGAATCATGGCGACAAAGGAACTGTTTGCAGCACAGTTGGTTGCATGTACTTCTTCATGTATCTAGGCTCTCGGACGGAGTGCATACAGCTACAGATTAATTTTGACCAGTAACATACAGATTAATTTTGACCAGTAACTCAGGAACATCAAATTCTGGGAGCAAGACTTTAGCAACGAAGACGGCCTGTGATACGTTTCGTCGCTCAGCAAGAGTATCCAAACCCAGTGAACGAAAGCCGTCAGCATACGGTGGTAAATTCAGCGGGTCACTCCAAGGAAGACAGCGCAGTGCGTATCTGAAGAATTTGCGTTGAACAGCTTTGAATCGTCCACTCCATACTGCTTGGTAGGGAATCCAAACAACACACACGATTTCCAGTAGTGAGCGGCAGTCCTAGTTCGACGGAAACTAATTACGCAGCACTTTGAGACGCACAGGACCGTAACAATACGTTCACACCAATCATTAAAGATTTCAAGAAGGTTTTGTATGGGAAATGTCTCTAATGTTGGCCTATGGATCTAGGATTGGGCTCATCGCTAAAAATCTGTTATTTATCAATTTTATCTAGATGAACGCGTTATTGGGACGTTAATAATGGATATTTTTGGTTGCTATTGAAAATTTAGTCGATTGCTGAATTTATGTATGGGCCCAAATTAGAGACACTTAGGCCGACATTACCTGCATTTCCTCTAGTTCTAAACAGTCAGCATAGCCTCGAACGACTAAGTCAGCTGCATAAGGAAACAGAACATCCATTTTTTTCAAGCTAGCAGAACGTCGTGCACAACTCTATCAAACGCAGATTTAAGATCAGTGTAGATGGCATCTACTTGAAGTTTCTTGCATACATTTTCCATACAAAACGTAAAGCTGCCGAGATTCGTTTCCACGGAGCGGCCATGAAAGAAGCCATGTTGATATGCTTAGATTCAACCCCAAGCGAGATAATCCCACGGTAGTTTTTCACATTGCGTTTGTCTCCTTTCTTGAAAACAGGGAACATAGTAGAGCGTTTCCATAGTGTGGGAAATTTCTGCTGACGAAGTGACAGGTTGAAGAGCAAGGACAACGGAGCAGCTAAGATATCGCAGCATTTTTTAGGACACCAGATGGAATAACGCTCGGACCTGGTGAAAATGATGATTTGGTTTTACTCATCGCAGAGAGAACCATTTGTACATCTACGGCAAAAACATCCATGTTAACGACGTCGGTTGGCACATCACGGACGGCTCGCTCAATTTCTGCTTGCGATGGGGAGTCATTCGAGAAGACGCTTAAGAAGTGCCAAGCAAATAGGCTGCATTTGTCCTCAGTTGTCAATGCTACGTCATTGCCGAGAAACATTTTTGACGGCAGTCCAGTTTCCTTCCTCTTCGTATTCACAAACGACCAGAATCCCTTGGGGGTGGCATTGCAGATTATGTTGAGTACGAATTACATACCTCTTGTAAAGAGGCTTTGTTGTAGTGGCGATAATCATTGCTGGCAATTGAAACATTTCGTTTGGTAAGGGTACATCGTCGATGAGTGAAAGCGCGGAGAGCTCTAGCTCGCACTCGTTTCAGGTTTCAGGTTGCGGAGAGTAGCGTTACACCAAGGCGGTTTTCTTGGAGGTAGGCACTTCGGTACTGAAGCACAAACACAGTCGCGCAAAAGGCAATTATAACGAGCGACTGCTGTATCGATATCAAAGTCATTCAAAACGTTCCAGTCAATCCGGGACAAGGAACGCCTCAGCAAACGGAAATCGGTCTTTCGAAAATTGAGCCGAGTGGCAGTCAAGGTTTCTTCAAAAAGAATTTGAGATCCGTTCGCGATAGATAAAGGGTGTCCACGATGAAATTGCCACACTATGAAATTGCTCTAACTTTTTAACCGTAAGGTAGAATTTAATGAAAATTTGGGTGGATTTAGTTCATAGTGCATTATTTACATCCTGCAAGTTTTAAAGTCCTGTGATCAAAACTCGCGGAAATGGAGTCGAAAGAACAGCTCGTGCGTGATAAAATCTTGCGCATTCATCACGAGAACAAGGATCTCTCGCATCGTTCCATCGCTAAAACGTTGGGAATCGCGAATTCCACGGTGTCGCGAGTGATTAAGCGGTTCGAGGAACGGTTGATCACCGATCGGAAGCCCAGAAGTGAAGGAAAAAGTATTCCGTACAACACCAAAAATCACAACCGCGTAGTTGGGGCCTTCAACCGAAATCCGAACGCCTCCGTTAGGGATGTGGCTAAGAAGCTGCACCTAAGCCGAAGTTTTGTCCAGAAGGCCAAAACTAAGGCTGGGCTTCGAACGTTCAAGGTACAAAAGGCCCCTAATCGCGACGAGAAGCAGAACAAGTCCGCCAAAACCCGTGCCAGGAAGTTGTACCTCAACATGCTGACGAAAGTTGAATGCTGCATCATGGACGACGAAACATATGTGAAGGCCGACTTCAAACAGATCCCCGGCAACCTGTTTTTCACGGCCAAGGATAAGTTCAGCGTTCCGGAGCATGTCCGCACTCAGAAGATGTCCAAATTTGCGAAGAAATTCCTGGTTTGGCAAGCCATCTGCACGTGCGGGAAGCGAAGTGCACCTTTCGTGACCCAGGACACGATGAACGGACAGGTGTACATAAAAGAGTGCCTCCAGAAGCGGCTGCTTCCTCTCCTGAAGGCCCACAACGTCCCAACAATCTTCTGGCCGGATTTGGCCTCATGCCACTACTCCAAGGACGTGCTGAAGTGGTATGCGGACAATAAGGTCAATTTCGTGCCGAAAATGTTCAACCCTCCCAACACTCCGGAGCTCCACCCCATCGAGAAGTACTGGGCGATTATGAAGCAGCACCTTCTTAAACGACCTAAGGTAGTGAAGACAGTCGAGGAACTGAAGAAAGTATGGGTTTACATGCAAAAAACGGTTGATTCACAGGTTGTGCAGAATCTTATGGCCGGGGTTAAGGCCAAGGTGCGGGCATTTGCGTATGGACTGTAAATAAAATACGAGTAAAATGGTAAAATGAAGTTTAATAGTTATTTCTCAATCCCTGAAAATTTGATGGCAATCGGATGAAAACTCGAATTTTGCGAATCAATTTTGTGTGTGGCAATTTCATCGTGGACACCCTTTATATCCAAAGCAGGGTGGAAATTGTCAAGAGGAACGATGACCTAGGCGCTTCAGCGACGGCACAGGCCAGAAGTGTACTTTCGCTTGCAAAAACTAAGTAAAGAAAACGATACTGGAAATTGGGAACAACACACTTAGAAATTACTATTTTTACACGAGACGTAATTTAGCTCTGACGTAAATCATGGAACGTAAACAAACATGGCATGGAAAATTAAGTGTCCTGAAACTGAAACATATGCAACTAGACGAAAAGTGCGTTTGATTGAATTCATTTTCTCGTCCTTTTCAACTGATTCTTATGTCAAAAGGGCCGCTTGCATGTGTCGGTCTCAGGGCACTGAAATTTACATGTCTTTTTCGTAGTGTGAAGATTTATCTGGCTCAGTCCATGAAAAGCCGTGCCGTCTTCAAGCAAGTGACTGGCAGGAGTAGTTGAAGATGCCAGCGGATCTGGAAACGCATAACTCTGGCCTGAGGGCGACCAGATAAGCCCAGGCTGATTAAAATCACCAAGCAGAAGAAGCACATCCGTTATATCAGCCAAGGACGATGCAAATTCTGTAGCATCCCGATGAAGCTGCATTGTACTGCAGTCATGTCGACGATCAGGGGGAATATACACCGCTCCAATGAGGATGTTCCGCCAAGTGAGGCTGACCTTAACCCAAACCGCTTCAATTGTAGTAAATAGTTCGTCGGCGATCACGCAGGAGGCGAATGCGTTGGAAACAGCGATGAGGACACCACCACCGCGAGTACGAATGCTGTTGGCTAAATTACGGTCTAATATGCAGACATTAAAAGAGTTACCAAACAGTTGCACTGAATTGAATTAAATAAGTGAAAGGAATATTTCTATAACCTTCACACACTGTCAAGTATCTAGGAGTAACTCCTGTTTTTGAGCAAAAAACTTTTGCTATGATATGGGGTCTGAAATCAAAAATTAATCATTGGATTAATTTGACCCAGAATAACCTATTGCACCTTTTCTCAATTTATGAGTCCCGACCCACCGGTGCGGTGGGTTACGGACTGCCCTCAGGTGGGTCACAGAAATTCAGAAAGCTCGCATTACAAATAATTTATAAAAAATT